TGTGGTGGTTGTGCATGAACTGTGATAGAATTGTTAATCAGCCCCTTTCACCACTCCTTTTGCAAGCATTTTTAAAATGCTATTTTAGGTTCACTATGAAAAATGATTTTTTTAATTAATTAAATTGTTTACTGTTGTCTTATTTATTTAAATTAAAAACAGTATTATTTTACATACCAATCACAGTTCCCTCTCCCTCCAGTTCTCCCATTCCCCCCACCATCTCCCCATCCCACCCCCCATCCATTCCTTAGGGAGGGTGAGGCCCCCCACGGGGAATCATCAAAGGCCACCACATCATTTAGGGCAGGACCAATTTCCTCCCCCCACCCCTGTAATTAGGCTGAGACAGTATCTCTCCACAGGGAATGAGCTTCCAAAAAGCCAGTTCATGCACTAGGGATAAATCCTGGTTCCATTGCCTGTGGTTAAGATGGTCAAGACCATCAAAAACAGAAAAAGGAAAAGAAATTCTGAGGAACAGAGATGGCTCGGGTAGTAAAAGGCTTGTTGTGTGAACATGAAGACCTGAGTTTGGTTTTCAGAGCCCCTGTTAACGAGCTGTAAAAAAAAAAAAAAACCGTGAGTCACAAAAATTACAGTGAAGAAGGGATAAGGAAATAACTGGACATCGACCTGCATTCACAAACACATTCATGTATACCTTATCTGTGTGTGTGTGTGTGTGTGTGTGTGTGTGTGTGTGTGTGTGTGTGTGTGTGTGTGTATCTTTGGGATATTTCAGTCAATAATTTTCACGAACAGATGACTCTCTTTTAAACCTTTATTTGGTTTAAAACATCAAGTCAGAGCATAGCTCATTTCAACTGCTGAATTCATCTGGGGCAATGCCTAGGCTCTCCATCAGGACACAGAAACACCTCTATATTAAACTATCCCTTGGGCCCCAGCTTTCCATCTATAAAAATCAACCCTGTTAAAAACAAAACATAAATCATGTGGCAGATACTTCAGACTCAAAAATCCTAAGAATAAACCAGTTTTCAACATGACTAATATTCTTTTCACTCAAAGAATTGGAATATTTTGTAATCCACCTCATTTGCTGCCCACAGACTTATTCTACCTATGGAGAGGTGTAAACTGAGGAGACTCAGAGAGAAATTATTAAACTGAGGAGAGGAGCATGGAGTCTAGTTCATCTGTGAATGGTGAAAGCTTTCTGCTTAGACATCCAAGGTCAGAGGCATGCTCTGAAAGTCCTAGAGGCAAAAGAGCAGAATGACAGAGCTATTGGGTCAAGAAAACCTCCCCAACACCTGAACTAGAACATTCCTCACACAGGTGACTATTTGTTATTTCCCAGTTAACAATGTGTAAAAAAGCAAGTGGTAAGGGAATAATGCTAATGCTGGTGAGTAGGTTATGGGTGAAGCATCAGAAACTTATCTATATTATGTTACCACAATGCAAAGTCATAGCATATCTTAAGCAAAACATAAAGACTTTCATAGTCTAGGTTTACCGCTTTCAGGAGGATTTGTTTCCTGTAAGCATAAAATTGTTCCTAAATCTAGGAAGGGAAAAGGGGGGGGGTTAATTTTTCATTTAGTAACTATTGTTCCCAGATGGTGGATATATCAATCCACCCTTGAAGAGCCCCTGATGGAGGTGATAATTATTGCCCTTTCATAGACTTGGACCATAAGGGTTCAAGGAAAATGAATACATCACAGAAGCGCAGAATTGCAATGTCTCCCATTCTCACCGCCATTTTAACCCAATCTCCTGCCATATTGATCTCTTTACAGCCCACCAATTAATCTAGAAGCTTGTTTTCATTGTACAGAACACAGTTCAAGCCTTTGGTACTTGGCCCTCAAGGTGCCAGCTTCTTTCTATCGTTTGCTTCATGGAATACAAGTTTCCATTATCTCTGCTGAAACCCATGAATTACTCCAGCTACCAATGAGTTGCACATAACCTTTTCATTTTTTCCTGTACATTGTGTAATTTTGGTCTCTAAAAACATAGCTCTCCACAACAGTTTGAAAGATACAAGTGTATAGTCTCTCTATTAAAGATAGTGTCACACTATCAGCAAAACATATCTCCATGCTGTTAATTACAAAAGGGTTCCAAGAGTGCAAAATAATGAAGCAAATCACAATGTTCTATCTTCAGGGGAAAAAAAACTACGATGAAAAGAAGAGAAAACATTTTTTGTTTGTTTTAGTTTTTGTTCAAGCTTGACCTACGCTAAAATGATAGATTGAAATGACCCAAAATGTTGACAGAATGCCTTTGTGCAGATCACCAGATACCAGTTCCTGGAGTAATTATAGCTATGAAACAAAGCTGAGTGAAGTATCCATCCAGTCTATATATGGAGAGGAAGGCAAATTGTTCTGTTTATTTTAACTTATATGGCTGTCTTTTGGCCGAATAGCCAAGTAAGTAAAATTACAGTTGCTTTGCTTTGTTGGTCTGACATCTAACAACATAAACATATGTGGCATTTTAAGAATTACCTTTGCATAAAATCTCCTAAAGGCTTTGGCTATAAATTCCTTTGAGAACATTGTTTAATCACATGATTTAAGGCATCATAATTATAAAAATGCTTCCCAAATCTTTATCTTATTATTCTTTTCTGGAAACAGCACTAAACATCTAACACAAATTAAGTATGTTTCATGTTATCACCTTTCACTCAAAGTCTTCTCTGGACTTGACTGTACTTTCAAAACTTCTATTAGTGTTCTTTTAGTAACTGATGCTTAGCACCTGAAAGGACTCTCTCACATGCCTCAAATTCCTACCACTCACATTTAATTAATTTTTTATGCTATTTAAATCTTTGCTGCACATATTTCTAATTTCCCACTCTGTGACTCCAGAAATCTGGAACCTTTGTTCTACTATAGTAAATTTAAGATTGTCTTATCAATTTTCTGTGAATTATTCTGAAATTTTGGTGAGGATTGCATTGCATGTGTAGACTGGTTTTGGTAGAATGCTCAATATCACTTTATTGATCCTACTGCCCAAGTATGAGGTAGGTCCTTCTGTCTTCTGGTATCTTCTTCAAATTCTTCAGCACCTTAAGGTTTTTATTACACCAATCTATAACTTTCTTGGTTAGAGTTATATAATTATATTTTTGAGTTTCTGTGAAAGATACAGTTTTCTTGATTTGCTTCTCAATATGGTTGTCCTTTACACATAGAAAGCTAATGAGTTCTTTTGTGTTATTCTTGTATCTTGCTACTTTGCTGATAGTGATCATCGACTGTAGTTTCCTGATGGATTCTTTGGGTTTTTTTATGCAAAAAAAAAATTTATCTGCAAATAAAGATACTTTGACTACTTCAGTTGCCTTGATTTAGCAAAGACATTAAGTACTAGATCTATAGCTATGAGAGACTGGATATCCTTGTCTTTTTCTACTGAAAATGTTTTGAGTTTCCTTCTATGAATATTTATATGGGCTCCAAGCTTGCTTTAATTTTCCTTTATTATGTTCAGACAGAGGGATCTCTTCTATCTCTAGATATAATTGCCAGGATTTTAACATGAAGAGGTGGTTGATTCTGTCCAAGGTTTTCTCTGCCTCTAATAATATGATTATGTGGTATTTGGTTTTTAGTCTGTTTATATGTTAGACTATATGTACCTGTGTGTGTGTGTATGCGTGCATGTGCATGTGCGTGTGCATGTGCATGTGTGTGTGTGTGTGTGTGTGTGTGTGTGTGTGTATGATGGGAGATGTCATTCTGTAAATATGTTTCTCTTATTGGTTAATGAATAAAGCACTGTTGGTTAATAATAAGAAAGCAAGATAGGCAGGACTAGGAGACAAGGAGGATTTGAGGAGGAGGTAGGGGGGATTCAAAATGTAGGGCTGAGAGAGAAGAACTCTGTACCCTCTCTCTGGTAAGATAAGACCACGTGGACGCATTTAGAGTAATAGAAACGGGTTAATATTTAAGGCAGAGCTAGCCAAGAAGAAACATTAGTAACAGGCCAACAGCTTTGTATCTAGTACAGCATCTCTGCATGTTATTTGGGGCTAACGTACCTGTGGGATCAGGCCAGGGGAAAACCACTTGTAACATATGTGTGTGTGTGTGTGTGTGTGTGTGTGTGTGTGTGTGTGTGTGTGTGTGTGTATGCTCTGACATAAAGCCAACATGGTTAGTTTTTAAATGTGATTTATAAGTATTTAATTGAGAACTATGCATCTGTGTTCATAAGGAATATTGCTTCTATACTGTGGCTTTGGTATCAAGGTCATAATTGTTTTATAAAAGACATAGACAATTTTCCTCTAATTTCCATTCTGTTTGTATTAACTCTTCCTTGAAAATTTGTAGAAGTTTGTGCTGAACCAATCTGTCTCTAGGCTTTTATCGGTTAGATGATTTTTAATTACTGTTTCTTCATCAGAAGATATCAGAAGCTTAAACTATTTAATTTTAGTTTTTAACCAAGTAGATCATATTTATCAATAAATCTATTTCTTTTATATTTTTCTGTTATGCGTAATATAGATTTTTAGAGTACATCCTTATTCTTTTAATTTTCTCAATGTCTGCTGTATTCTTTTCTTTTTAATTCTAACTTTATTAATTTGGATTCTCTCATTGTTTATTTCGCTAAAGGCTTATAAATCTTATAGTTTTTTTCAAAAAGCCAACCTTTCATTTATTGATTCTCTTGTTTGTTTATATTGTATTCACTTGCAAGTTTAATTATTCCCTACTCCCTATTTCTTTTAGATACTATTTCTTCTTGAACACATAGAGCTTAAAAGTATGTTACTATTTTAAAAAGCTGTCTCTAGTTTGTTTTTTTTTTTTTTTGATACAGGTACTTAGTGTTATATGAACTTGCCTCGTATGACTGCCATGTGTCCCCTAGATTTGGGCATGTTGTGCTTGCTCTTTTATTCTGTTCTGAAAAAAGGTCTTAATTTCCTTCTTGGTTTCTATTCAGCTTTTAAGGTTGGTATGCTTTATACCTCTTCTGTGGTTGACATCCAGCTTGAATCCATGGTGGTAAGAGAAGATGCAAAGTGATATTCAGTTGTCCTGTTTCTCTCAGGATGCAGAGAACAAATTGATGAGCTCAAGTGCAGAAGTGCAGAGACTAGAGCAGAATGAAAAAAAATATATACTATGGTGAGAAGTTGGTGGACAGTGGCAAAGGCCAAAGTAGCAAGACTGTTGCCTTGGTGGCATTGAACAAACTATTTCTTTTTCATTATAGCTTTTGAGTAACTTGTAGCTCTAGAGTAACTATAGAAAATACTGGAAAAGCAACATTGTAAGAGAGAACTGGTCAGAACAACCCAGACCCTTAGTTATTGTTCAGGCCAAAGCTATTGTGTGCTGTCAGTTGTGGCAATATGAGAATGTGTGCACATTGAGACTCTAATGAGTAAACCAAGCCGAAGATTTTCTCCTACTATGCTCTACAAATTAAATGGCTTCCAGAAAGGCACACATGTAAGCTTAAGGAAAGACATGGATGCAACGCTGGTGACTAAAACAGAGAGCCAACTTAAATTAGGAATATATGATTACCTTTGCATTTTAAAGAGATCTGGTGGTCACAGCCTGAAGGTTGTATTAACTGTACTGTATGTAATGGTCTTGCATGTAGATACTGACTTTGCTTGACAAAAGAAAAAAAAATGTAGTAGGTTTCTTTAGGGAAAATTCTTTAGGGATTTAATGTCATCTATAGTTTGGTATGTGTGTGTGTGTGTATGTGTGTGTGTGTGTGTGTGTGTGTGTGTGTGAGAGAGAGAGAGAGAGAGAGAGATACCATGGTGTTAAATGAAATGCCAGGTGCAGATGGACTAGTTATAAAGCAATTAAGTTAGCATGAATACCATTTCTTACAGAGTAATCTGTTGCTAGGAAAGGCAATCATGGTTTGCAGATGGTCCAGAGATATTTATATTGCTAAATGTTAATGAACTGATTTCTAATGATTTACCCATTTCCAATTAAACACTGACCTGAGGTTTTATTAACCATGCAGACTATTTTCAGTTTGAATATGTACTTCTACTTGTACTTAGCATGGCATACACTGCAAGGTACCAATGCCATTATTCATCTTGGACCACTCACCATACTGGATAAACCTTAAGGAAAAAAAATAGGACAAATATCCAACACATGCCTACCTCTCACAAGTTCAGTGCAAAGGACTTTCAAGTATGGTCGCAGAAGGTGTTCCTGCTAGTCACTAGGTGGCATAGTTGTCTGAATCTACTAAATTAAATGCACTCCAAGCTCCTTTAAAAGAATATTTGGGTCATTCATGGCTATACCTTGTGAGTAGAAAAACTTACACTGGCTTATGACTTCTCCAGGTTGAGAACTAACCAGCGCCACCTGTTTTCTATTCTCAGAAACCTTCCTCACTCTTCTGGAACCCTTTCTAGAATAAGTCATTATTAAAATTGTATCAAAGCTCCATAGCTATCAACAGAGATACTGAGCAATTATCTTTGAGAAGGTTGAATTCTGTTGCCCTAATTTTGCTGCTAATAATATGGTAATGTTTCAATTTAACTAAAATGGGTTAGATAGTACCACGTGGTCAGTCCTGAAATCATATACATATAAGTAACATCATATGTACTGAGAAAAATTGTAGTTAAACATTTAGTATAGATATTAATATTTATAGATAGATATTAATGATATGTAGATATGTAGGATTAGTATAGCTACAGATATAGATAGATGTTAAGTTTAAAATGGGTTGACAAATAAGTCCATAGGTGATTCTATAATTTTGTAACCATTGTGATTTATTTGCTTATATACCATCATTAACTAGGATTTCTTTCTTCAGTTAAGAGACTAGATGCACAAAATATATAATGATATTACTGGAGTAGTGAAGCATATTGTTTTGTAGTAAACCTAATCTGTAATGTAAGAGTTTAGCTATTTCAGAATATATATATAAAAACAAAACATAGTACTTTAGACCAGTAAAATACTATTTGTCAGTTTCAAGTATGTATTTTACACATCACATATTTAAGACCGGTAGTATTAATTGAATGTTAATTTATACTACAATCACTACAAATGTGTGAGTTGGGCATATGCTATAACATTACTATGTTGATAATGTCACTAAGTTATAGATATTTTTCTACTCTACTATAGTAAAATGGAACCACTGTTATGTATGTCTTCCCTTTTTGATAGACACCGTTATGAACTGCATAGAAAAATTGAGGAGCAATTTGGACTGAAGAGCAGGTTTATCCACAAAGAAATACAGTAATGAATTAGGAAGAACTTTTGTATGAAACAGATAATAAAGTGTGTGCATAGGAAACCCAAAGCACTCTTGGTAGGAAGACTAAATCTCAAGAGTCATGAAAATAAAGAACAAATATAAATGGATCTGAAATCTAGAAAGGGTTATAAAATAAATTTAGATCTCTAAGAGCCCTGGGAGCAGTATGGAAATGCAGTCCTCATTAGAAGACCCCTGTTTTCACATGAATGGATCTCTGTAATTGACATTTCAGAATTAGAAAATTAGCATTTCAAGAAAATCATCTCTATCCTCCCACCCCCACAGGATCCTTTTCTGCAGAATCCCCTCATTCCAATTTCAATCCTGAACATTATTAAGTCCTTAAAGCTGCTTTTCTAGACCCTGTTGTGTGTAAGGAGTGTAAGGAATGTCTGCCTGACCCAGAACTTAGAGGGTGAAATGACAATATTAAGATAGAAACAGCAGTGAAAATGGTTACCATTTCATACTGAGAACATTTTTTAAATTGACACAGCTAATTATCATTTGCAGTCACAAGAGCTGAATTTAGATATACCTAGTTATAGAGACCCCATGGACATATGAGGGTTTATGCTTGTCATCTACAGCACAACTGTGTATAATGTTGAACAGCTTACAAATTATTAGACAAATTTTTATGTGACTTAGCTATATCAGCAAGTACTTTTTTCCTACTTAAACTAAAGAGAGTATGCATGATGAGACTTCACTTCTAACCTTAAAATCAAGTTGATCTTAGCTGTATCAATAAACCCATCTATCTAACAAAGGGCTTTGTGGCATATTGACTTTAAGCAGAATATATCCTATTGAAAGACAAAAAAATAAAGTTAAAGAAACCCCCACTTGAAATGAAAGACAGACTAACCTGGAAAGCTAACCCAGACCAATATCTGTTCCTTGGAATTTGCTAACTTCCCCTCACAACGCCATGAGATAACAAGATACCAAGAATTCACACTGCCCCTCCTTTCTTGTGAGTCAGCAGGTGGTGAATAGGGTCCTTAAGAAACAAAGACATAGCTGTACTTCCATTTACCCAGACAAGATTAATTAGCACACCTTGAGGCTCTAAGGTCTGTTGACTCTAATAGGGAGACCATCTGGCCTCAAAGGGTCATGTACTTAATGGACAGAGGGTTCCACCTCCTCCCTAAGCTTGTGGGTTTTGCCTTTTAAAACGCCTGTGCCCAGGGGATGGTGCTTCTCTCTAGCCTGCATGCTGGAGGAGCCCGTTTGCGCAAACATTTCATGTTCATTAAAGCCTCTTGCGTGTTGCAGCAACTGGACTGGACATTGAGTTCTTGGGGGTACCGACTAAAACTGGGAGACTCCTCATTCTGAGGTTCTTACACTATTAATAATAAAAAGTATAAATGAATTTTTGTGAGTGATAATCCAGCTGATTGGTACCAAAAATGACTGACTAACTTCATCTTTTGGATTTCTAGGTCACGGGTCTAACATTTATGAATAATATGCTAGCATTTTCTGTCAGAAAAAAAAACAATGATAGTGTCTCCCATAAGGCATTGCTGAACAACAACTAGTATTTACTAAAAATAACTTTCTCAATAACCTGGCTCAGTGTTTTAGGGTTTTTTATTTTGCATGAGCTGTTGGGAGAGAAACTGGGAATTTCACTCAATGAAAACTCAAACTATAAAAATATCCCATTGAGTTTACAGATTAGCCATTGAAGCAGAGAACATTTCCCAAAGGAATAAATACAATATACCATGTGCAAAATATGGGTAAAATGGTATCCATGTCAAATTAGAATGTCATTAGCAAGCACAAAATAGTGAAGTCAAGAAATATTTCTACTCTAAATTGAGAAGTCAGGGATGTATGGTTGGAAAGAATAACACATGGAGTTGATTACACTAAATCATTGGCATAAATTTCTGTCTGGATACTAATTAGGAAAGATTGCAATCCATTATTCCCTTGGCTATGTTAAGAAGACCTTCATGGAAAGAGAGTATTAATGTCAATGGCTCTTAAGGCCAGCATGCATCAGCAGTGTGTCCAACACACAGAACAGAGGTTCATTATAATATAGATTGCTTGACCTTGTCGCCGGAGTTCTTAGTCAGTAGGCTTGTGTTGGATGGACATCTACCACTTGAACTGTCTAAATTCATTACTAATATTCATAGTATAGTTTCTGAAACCACATTAAATAAATCATGCCCCTTTAGATCATACTGGACTTCATATTTTGAACACTCCAATAACTAGAATATGGTGTTGACAAACATCTAATTGGAAAATAAAAGACATGTTTTTTTACATTCTAGGTTTTTATATTTTTCTCACTCAATATGCCAGTATTCTTGAGCAAAGATTTTTCAGTAACCAGCACAGCATAGGAACAAAATGCTTAAAGCTGAAATATTTAGTGTCTTTTTTTTTAACTACTATTCAAAGATTAGTTTGATACTTAGAAAAATTTAGGAAACATGTAACTGTTTATATACTTCTGCATTTTCAAAGTGATAAAAGATGCAAATGGTTCACAAAGCAAACCAAAAACTCTTCCCTTCTGCATTCTAAAAGAAACATCTGACCTGAACAAGGGGGAGCTCATGGACTCCAGTCTGATAGCTGGGAAACGAGCATAGGACCAACCCAGACTGCCTGAATGTGGATTTTACTTAGGAGGACGGAACAGTCTGTGGGGCCTCTGGTAGTGGAACAGTATTTATTCCTAGTGTATTAATGGACTTTGGGAGCCCATTCCACAAAGAGGGATACTCCCTCAGCCTAGACACATGGGGGGAGGGCTTAGGCCCTGCTCCAAATGA